ATATATTTTAAAGGGCTGGAGATGTCTGAAATTATAAAAAAATAAAAAGCTGGGCATGTGGCTCAGTGGTTGAGCGCCACTAGGTTCAACCTTGGTATAAATTAAAAAAAAAAAGCCTGTGATTAAAGCGTATATACTAAAATGTGACTAATGTGGAATAATCACAATGCTTTAATATTGTATTGTAATTTAAATACTATGAAATGCCTCAAATAGGACCAGTTTTGAATTTAGATCATTTTGGTGCCACTATTGCTTTTTGATTGCCCTTTATCACATTATGTTTCCTAAATTCTGTTTAATACGTTGAAACAGTTTTGAAAAGATTTTGGGCCAGGTGCAGTGGTTCACACCTCTAATCCCAATGGCTCATGAGGCATAGTCAGGAGGATCATGACTTTAATGCCAGCCTCAGCAATTTAGGAAGCACATAATCAGCTTAGTGAGATCCTGTATCAAGAAAAAAAGCTAAGGGGGATGTGGTTTAGTGGTTATGTGCCTCTGGGTTCAATCTCTAGCACAAAAAGTAAAAGTAAAAAAAAAAAATTTAGAAGGAAGTACATCAATAATATATTCAGATAAAAGTTTCACGATTAGTTTTGTGATGATAATTTTTAATTCTTATATGAAAAATATTTTATATGAATATATCTTTTATAAATACATGTTTTTAGTCACAAAATCTGCAATGACTGAAGTGAAATAGATAATAAAGCTTGTGTCAGCATCTAAACCTCTAATAATTGTGTGTGTGTGTGTGTGTGTATGTGTGTGTCTGTGTGTGTGTCTGTTTCATGTTGCCATGATGGAATACTTCAAACCGGTAATTTATAAAGAGTAGGATTGTTTCTTGTAGTTCTGTAGGCTGGGAAGTTCAACATCAAGGGGCTGCATGTAATATAGTGAGCGCCATCTTACTGTATCATAATGTGGTAGAACTCATCACATGGTGAGAGAGAACAAGAGCTTGAACTTATGGTCTCATGCCCCTTTACAATCAACATTAATGCATTCATGATGGTGGACCTCAACTTCTTTCATTAGGCCCCACCTACATGTTTTTTGGAGAACACATTCAAATTACAGCAGTGTGTGCTTGTATCTATTTATATACTATAGGTATTATAATAATTATATAACCATACAGTCATGCACCACATGTTTTGGTCAACCATGGACTAGGTCCCAAAAGATAATATCTACTGGTGATACTATAGCCATGTAAGTTTGTGTAAGTACCCTTGGTATTTTACCAGTGATTAAGTTGCCTAATGACTCATTTAGGACTATATTTATAAATATAGCATTTATATGTGGGTGTTTTGAACTGCTATAGAGATATGAAAAAAATTCATGTACTTTGACCTGTTATTGCTAATGATAAAGGTAGACTCTAGAGCACAGTCTTTTTAGTTATATATTACAAATTTCTAATCCTAGCCCTGTTATTTACTACCTCTATAAACTTGAGCTTCCAAATTTTCGTTTCCTCATCTGTAAAAAGGGAATGAAAGTAACAATAAGATTATATGAGTTTACACATACAAATAGTATACAACTGTCTCTATATCTCTATGTTTAGTATTATAGAAGCAGTTGTTATACTACTAAGAATATGATGGTTATTTTTATTGTCTTATTAGAAGGGAATAATCTTAAGGCAGTCATAAATTTCTTCCAATCTTAGACAAGAATATATTCAGTTTTATTTGTTTTTTCCTTCTTCTTGCGTTTTTGTTAAATCCTTTTTAATTTTTCTTTTATAATATCACCAAGTTCTTTCTTCCTATTTCAAGAGCCAAATATGTCTATTGTGCTTTGTTTATTTCTGCATTTTTGCATTCTTCCTGACAGTGTATTCAAAAGACTGTTGCCAAAAATCCTCTTTCTATCCCACTGTTTGGGATGTAGCAATCCCCATTCTCAAGTTTTTTTTTTTTTTTTGTCTAGTTATTTCTTTTTCCTATGAAATTCAAACTCAGAGTTCACAACTCGAAAAGTTCTTAAGCACATTCTGCCTGCTTGCATCCCTCTTTCATTTCCTCCTACTTTTCATTTCATTGTACTGAGACATATATTCTCTTGAGCTGTTTTTATACCTTTATAATATCCTGTCTCTGTATACAATTTTATGCTGCATCCTCTGCCTGGAAATCTCACCTGCCTTGTCCTCTAAGGAAACTGACTATCATTTGTCAAATCACTGTTCAGAATCCATTTTTTTCTTTTCTTTTTAAAGTTTTTTCCCAAAGCCTTAGGAGAAAGTATTTTTGAATTTAGTCTGCAGGAAGAAACAAAATATAGTGAAAGTTCAAACCACTTACCTCTTATTTATAGTTAATGTTTTTCCTTGTTATTTGAGTTGAACTCTTCTTTCTTGCTTAATATACCTTTTAGCCCCATATGAGTCCAGGATCCCACCCTCAGTACTGTGCATAATATACTGTATGTATAATATTCACACTCTACCTGTGAAAATAAAATTAGATTAACATTATATAATTCATTTTATTGGATAATGGACTACTTGTGAAATGGAATCCTCATTTTGTCAAAAACAACCACAAAAATGTCTCTTAGAAAAAAGTGAACTGAAATAGATAAGAAAAAGCTAATTTAATTAATTATTTAAAGAACAGTATTGTTATGTCTACCAATGCTTTTTTAAAGATTAGTAGAATCAAAGTACTTCTTTGTATGAAAAAAGGATCTATTCTATCTAGTATAGCAAATAAGTCAATTTTCTTTCAGTCAAACAAAAACAAACAAAATACTACCTTGAAGTAAAAGGTAAACAAAAGGAAAGAATTATGTAAGATCCATGGGAAAAAATTATAATTACCTTTCTTCTTCATAAATTTAAGAGTGTTTCTTGGAAGGTGCAAAGCCATGCTGTAAACTTAGCATATTTTCCTAGAGTTCTGAAACTCAAAGATATTGGAGGAAAACACCTAATTTTTAGATTAAAACAGATATATATTATAGAATAGAATGCAAAATCCACATGAGTTTTTAATTTAAAACAGATGACTTCAAAGCAATTTCACACTTGCAGCAGATCCTTAGGGGCACTTGTTCAATCTTCTCTTCCATTAGGGATACTTTGGTGGGAAAAGTATAGGAAGTATTGCCTGGAGAATTAGTAGTTTTGTTTTGACTTTGGTTCATTTAGTTAGGTAGTTATTATTGTACGGAGAGGGGAGGCAGGCAGGCAGGGTCAGAGAGGAGAGTACTTCAGTTTCTTCAAAATGATATTCTCATAGCCCTTAGGATGTTCAGAAGTAAATAGTTTAATGCAACTTCATTACAAGAAAAATTAATACAATGGCATTGCTCTGGTCATTTTATTTCTGGTTAA